TATAAGACTTTCAATCTTTGTTAAGATACCCAATTTGCGGCGCATCCGAACGTTGAGGACGGTTTTGTGAAAGACATCTTGATATAAGACTTTCAATCTTTGTTCAGATAACCAATTTGTGTTAGGGGATGGGTGCAGTGTATTGTTCAACGTAGTTGAGACGCTGTTTTCTTGTGCTCCAATAGGTGTCTGCTTCCGATATCCCTGCAAATTCCGATACAGGAAGCAGGGCAGCAGGAGCCAGAGGTGCAGCGCCTGCGAGACGGACACCGGGAGGGAGGCGCGGCGTGGTTGCGGACCGAGTTGGAGGCCAAGAACTACACCAACTTGCGACGGCTGTGCGCTATGTTGGGGCTACCGCAGAGGCGCGACGGCGGAACCCTTCGGAAGGAGCAGCTGCTGGAATCCATAGTGGACTGCTTCTCATCGCAGGAGGGCTGGAGTGAGGGGATGGGCGTAGAGCGGTGTTGAACTTTGCACACAAGCTGTTTGTGTTGAAGTAGGTGTTGGCTAGACTCGATAGTGGAAAGCTGCGCTTTGCAGGAAGGGTTGTGTGCGGGGATGGGTGTCTGCTTTTGGTCTCCATGCAAAGTCCCTGACAGGAAGCGGGACATCCGAACGCTCAGGACGGTTTTGTGATTTGCAGCTGTATAGTTCAACTTAGTTGAGATTCTGTTTTCTTGCGGTCCAATAGGTGTCTGCTTCTGATATCCCTGCAAGTTGAATGATACCCAAGTTGAATGATACCCAAGTTGAATGTATCTGCGCAAGCGTCACGGCGGAGGAACCGGTGACGGCGGAGTCACTGCGACGCTTGGCGCAGGAGCTGGGAGACCAAGCGCCACCGACCCTCCGAGGTCGTCTGAGGGGTGTGCGTCTGAGGAACGCGGAGCCGTCCTTGGTGGATATAGCTTCGGAGTTGGGCCTACCTTGCGAGCATATGCATCGGAACAGGCTGGTGGATAGCATCGTTCTGTCGCTCTGTCCGCTGCGCGCGCCCGGGGCGGAAGATGATGTGAGGTATCACTTTTGGCGCTGGCTCGCAGATTGCCGGACCGTTCCTGCAGCAGACCTCGTAGCAAAGGCATCTGTCAGTTTTCCTGCGACACAGCTACGGCGATCCATGCTTAGTGTTTGCGAAGATGTTCCGTTGGAAAGTATTGAGAGGAGGCATGGAAGCGCGGCCGCGGAGCTGGAGCAATTGAGCCAGGCCACCGTTGCAGTCTTGCAACACCTTTCTGCTTTGAATGTTCAGTTTCCAGCTGAAGTGCCAGAGACTTGGACCACTGCGATGGAACAACTGCAAAGCATCAGATGGCCAGACCGTTTGTCTGGATTGCAGTGCAGTAGTTTGCTGGCTGTGTTGTTGGAGAATCGGCCGCTACAGCGCAGAGGCCGGGCGCGTGTGGACCGGAATTGTGTTGTGGGGTCTGATGTTTGTTTGGCTTTTGTTCGGTCGCAAACATATAGACTGTTTCCATCGAAAATATATTGGACGCAAGGTTGGTGGCAGTTGGTGGATTGCTGGGATCGCGCAGATCCAGTGGATGTAGCAGAGCGACTGTGGAGCCTGGCCACATGTCATCAAGCTGGACCAGCAGTGGAGCCAGACAGTGGCTTCCAGGATCGAGAAGATGTTTTGGAGGTGGGTCGGCAGAAAGCGTGGGACTTTTGCAAGGTTTATGTGGACGTTTGGTTCGGAGAAACAGTTTCTGATTTGATTGGTTGTTCGTTCGCTTGTTCTTTTTTCCCGTGTCTCTCTGTGCAGGCGGTCTTGGGCGCACTGAAGCACAAGCACAAGAGTCGTGGATATGACGAGGCAGACAAACTCTTGTTGCGCACTTTGATGCGGCGCTATGGCTGGGAAAGACATCTGGACGAGAGCGCAGCGCGCACGTGGATGGAAACCTTTGAAGCAGTCAAGAAGGCAGAGGATTGGTCTCGTTTTGCTTGGTTTCTGGTCGCGCACTTGTTGCACCCTGCTTGTCGTGAGAGTTTGCGTGCGTGGCACAATCCGGTGACCGTTTTGGAGTCGAGATTAGACCGCAGTGGTATTGCCCAGGAGGTGGTTACTTTGCACGATGACTTGTTGGCCTGGCAAGATCTCCACGGGTGTTCTTCGTTGCCCGAGAAGAAGCAGCATGCAGACTTGGCGAAGAGGGTGGGCAAGTATTTCAACAGCAGGGAGGCGCGTGTGAGGACCCTCCAGAAAGCTTATCCTCCAGACTTTGCGCCGCTGCCGGGTTACAGAGTTGAGTGTTTGTCCTTGGAAGGCGATTCCCTGCGTGGTGTACTCTGGCGGTCTGCAGCTGAACGTGCTCTGATGTTTTCGATCCCCGGTTAGGCCGCGGCGTTTAGAGGTCGGCGGACGAGGACGTTGTTTTACGGAGTCGTCATACTGGCGGACGCTTTTTTTTGGTGAGCCACGAGGACGTAGTCTTGCGGAGTCGCGGCACGGATGCACACGCGTGAGCAAAAGTGGTCGTTGAGGGCGAGCGGGGGGGACCTGAGACTTTGCTGTTCCCTCATGTTAGCTTGCAGCCTGTGCAAATGCTTCCAATAGCAAGTCTCTGGTTACGTCGGAGTGCTCCAGAGTGCCAACTGCACAAGGCTGCATCAGAGCACTGGACGTACACGCCTCAGACTTCTGAAGCTTTCCCTCGTATATTAGCTATGTTTTCAGGCTTTGAAGCAAACACCCTGCTCGTGCATTTTGTAGGGGCTTGATTTGCCACGCCTACGACTGAGGTTGCCGATGAGTACAAGCCGGCGCGGATCTGAACCAGAACAGGTGTTTCTCACTGTATACCACGCCTACGACTGAGGTTGCCGATGAGTACAAGCCGGCGCGGACCTGAACCAGAACAGGTGTTTCTCACTGTATTAGACTTCTACCTGTGCATGTCGCTGCTTTTTATCGCTGTTGTAGGTAGCTGTGCTTCGGATTCCGGCAGCTTCTAAGCAGGCATGGAGAAGTGAATATGTTCTTCAGAGGTATGCACACATCAAGAAATCGACAGGGTCTAAGATACATATGATACACGTAAGGCACCCGACGTGGACGCTGTTCTGCGGAAGCGTCGCGGGGAGTGCATCGCCCATATCTTTTCAACCACAGCATGAAATGTCTACTATGTGTATTTACATAGCCAATAGATAGTCTTGGGCACGTTACCCTCGCTGCATTCCTTGTAGAGTCTCTGGCGACCATGGATAGATCCGTCGCCTGGGCGCAAATTGTGGCTACCGAGTGGACAAGCCAAAAGAAGATCGGGCATCTGTTACTGCGCATGACTGCGGGGGAACTGCACTTGCGTTGTGGTTCGGAAGTGAAAGAGAGACGACTGCAGCGTTTGGGCCATGGCGTTGCCAAGGTGTGCTTCAGCATCGAGGGCACAGAACAAGTCTTGAAGCTAGTGCCGAAAGCTGGTCAAAATAGGCAAGGATGGCACAGTGGAGGCCTCAACGATCCAATTGCCGAATTCAAGGTGTGGAAGATGGCTTGGGCAAAGCACGAGTCTCTGCGACCTCACCTGCCTTACTACTCAGAAGCTTTTTATCTTGGAGGCATATTGGATGGGGAGTTGACTTATCTTCGAGGCATGTTGGATGGGGAGTCGATGGGGCCCGACGTCGAGGCTGGCGCCATGATCTGCACGCGAGCCGCCAGGACTGTGGAAGATATCTTCCGGCAGGGCGTCGTGCAATCTTGCACACTCGGTGCTTGGCGGGAGCACTACCGTTGGTGGGGTAAGTGCTTCCAACTTGTCGGTTTTTTCCTGGAGTTCGGTTTATGCCTCTGGGATGCCAAGGCAGATAACTTTGGGATCAGCGTGCGCGATTCCGACTTGTTGCTGGTGATAGATGTCTGGCCTATTCGGGAAAGGGAACAGCAGAAGCCAGATGGCCCCTTTATGCGACAAATGGTGAACCAATTTTGCGCACACTTTCGCGCCCAAGTCCTGCCCCTGGCGCATACTTCTTGGCAGCCACATTTGGAGAAGGTACTGCAAGCGATTACAGCCGTCTTCGCGCACAATCCCACTCGAACGACCTTGCATGGCGAGTGGAGGCAAGCAAGCGGATCGCCCTCTTCGAGAGTGTGACAGCGAATCGGTTGGTCCGGTTCTGCGCATGTTTTGTTTTCATTTTCTGCGCTGAGAGATTCTAACATTGATGCTTTGTTTTCATACATGTATTCACTTCATGGTCTGCGCCGATTGCTTTGTCTGAACAGGCTGACCGCAGCTACGATCGCTACAGCAGTGCAGGAGGTTTTTGGGCCGGTGACTCAGTCCATCGCTGACGCTGAGCACCAAGCCGCGGCAAGAGAGGCCCGGACAGCGGCCGCCCAGGCACCGACAGCGGCCACCCAGCCCGCCCGGCCGGCGGCAGCCAAGACCGCCCGCGTCGAGCGGCTGCCAGATACACTGTCTGGTAGACGCGGGGCTGGACAGGCAGCGGACAGCCGGGTAGGATCCACGAAGCGGTTGCAGACAGACGAGCTTGGGACAAGTCGCATCGTGTCTCTACGAGTCTGCGCGATGCTGAACGACAGGTCTGGTGGAACTTCTGTCCAGAGCTATGATGTCCTTGGCTTGGTGACGAAGGAAGACGTGATGGAGAATTCCACGGAGAAGCAAGTCTTCTGGGTCAATGTTTTGGTCAAAGATCCAGCACTGCCCGGCGAAAGATTTGACGGGGGGCGACGCATGGAGATTCACATGTGGCCGCTGCTCGAGGTAAACGACGTCCGATCACAAGTGGAGGCAGGGTGTTTGGTGGCGACTCACTGTTTCTACGTGAACGAGAACTTGCTACCTGTCTTTTGGGATCGCTTGGTCACCAAGAGTTGGGGAGCAGACTTGCAGGCGTTGGAGACTTACACTGTTACAAATCTACAACTTCAGGGCCTCTTGTCAGAAAACTCCTATCGCTTGCTGCGAGCAAAGCAGGAGCGGATACACGTGGATCCAAATATGCTCGGATGGTACAACAAGCCAGCGGAGGGGTTGAGCTCTGCGCGCAAGGTCGCTCACGCAGGACCCCGCAGTAAGACGAGAGAACAAAGAGAAGTTGACCACGACGTGTGGCACAAGGAAGATTTGACCGGCAAGAGACAACAAGCTCAACTCCCTGCTCACATACATAAGCCGCTGATGGTCTCTTGGCAACAAAGTATACGCAAATGCACGTATTCTTTTCTCTTGTTCTTTTTCTTGGCTGCAGATTCTAACTTGTTCATGCCAGCGTCCACGCGGTTATTTGGCTGAGGCATTGCTGGAGAACTTGCATGGACTTTTGCCTTGGGAGCGTGCCGTGCCAGTCCAACCAGTGCAGATGCTCCTGCGCGACGAAAGAGGGCTTAGCAAGTTCGCCCAGCACGCCAAAGCGGTGGAGCTTAAAGAATTTATACCTGACGACTGCTTCTTGCAAGATGAGGAACGCTTGGAGTATGGCTTCTCTGTCACGGGTCTGCCCGAGGTCATAGCCGGATTGCGCACATGGTTGTGGAAGAAGACCTGTCCTCGCTGTGAGATGGACAACCTCGAGAACCCGCACACGCATTGGAGTCGAAGCTATGGTCTGCAGGACTTCTTTCTGTCTGAGACGGAAATCGACGTTGCGGCAACGCAGACGACACTACAGGCTGCGATGGAAATGCGATACATTTCTGCCTTTGTGCAGTTGCAGAAAGCCAAGGCAGCGTAGCCGAACTGACCGCCGACCGCCCGTAAGTGGTGGCGTGCCTGACCGACCGGGGACGTGGACGTCGTTCTGCGGAAGCGTTCCACGGTCGGCGACCGCGTGAGCCGAGGCGCAATGACGCCCGCTCGGCTGCATTCGCTGGCGCGACAAACCTGCCGGGGATGTGGACGCGGTTATGCGGAAATGTCACATGGTGTGCCAAACCTAGTAGATTTCTTGACCAAAAGCATCGCGAAGAGTCCTGCTTCTAGAGTTATGCCTGTCTATGTTTGTTGTTTCTTTTCTTTTGTTCTTCGTTTGTGCTTAGGTACTTGCACGTCCTGCTCTCAGTCAGCACTTGCGTCTGTGATCGCGTTAGGGGCACAGAACTGTTTTTACGCTGCCACTCGATTTAATGTGTAGCAGGTTCAAGACGTACGACGCGTTGGTTAGTGACACTGGCTCAGACGTGAAAGCCTGCTGACTTATACACACACATATATATATATACATATCTGTGTTTCAGGTTTGAGATATATATGTATATATATTTCTATGAGATTTGTATGTACATGTGGAAAAGTCCATATTTATGACGCCAAACAGCCTTGTTGGTACTCTCATATAGCCACTGATGACGGAAACCTATCTAGCGGCGAAGCACCAGCGCTTCGTGCAAGAACTTGGAATCAGAGAGAAGCTACCTGCGATAAGACTCGAAACCGTGGTCGAGGCTTGTGAGGCCCTTAGCTGTCTTGAAGCGAAGTCTGATGAGTTGCTGTCTTTGAACACGTGGGACATGCTGCGAGCCTTGGACGAGCTGCAAACTTGGAAGCAACAGACCCAAGCAGAGGCCAGCAGGCAGTTCGAGAGCAAAATGCAACGTTTTTTGAATAAGATCTTTCCATCTCCCGTGCCGCCACGAGAGATCGGTTTGTTTGCGGTGGACAGAGTCACGCAAGCAGTGGGATCCAAGTTAGGTGATCGGACGCAAGAAGAACTGCAACTGGAATACCGAGATTTTATGGCCTGGCGTCAGGTCTTGGGAGGGAAACCTCCGGAAGAACTGAGCAAAGAACATTTTTGGACGCCTCAGAAGCCTTTCAATGTCTTCATTGACCGCAGGCAAGACAGGCCACCCAGCGCAAGCAAGGTTCTCCCCAGACCTAGTACCTCCAAAAAGCAAACTGGTCCCAAGCCTAGTGTTTCCAAGAAGCGAAGTTTTGTTGATGTGCGCGAGGACCCCGCCAGGAGTTGCGCAGGCGAAGACCCCAGGATGGGACCTTCGAGCGCGACCTGTCAGAGAGACACGACACGGGGAGACGTACTGTCATCCAACTGCCAAGCTGCACCGCACTGTCGACGGTGGAAGCGCCACGCTGGTTTGCCGAGAGAGAAGCAGCTGGAATATTTCTTCCTCTATGCAGCACACGAGCAATGCGTTCAATGTTTACAATTCTATGCTCCACATGTCAACGTCGCCTGCAGGTCCGCTGGCCGGGACGCCCGCGCTTGGGCGAGCGCCGACGGAACGAAGGCTGTCTCGCAGGAGCTCGAGGAACTTTTTGTTACCTGGAACCTTTGACTTGGAATTGCTGTGAGGCAGTTGGACCGCGGTCGAGAATGTTGTTCTGCAGACTCGACCGGCGGGCTGAC